CAAGGTACTCTGACGACTCTTTCCCGGCCCCGTACAACGCGCAACGAGAAATTCCCCGTCAATACGACCGACAATTAGTGCAACGCGACCCGTCCCCATCCGAAATAGACCACCACCCTGCTGCCGACTACCGACCATTCGGTCCCCGTCGCTCATCCTCACCACGCCGCTACCGTTCTCCGTCCCCGCTGCATCGCCGACCGAACCCCGCAGAGACGGAAAACTGACTGCCGCAGCTCCGGAGGCACGAGCTGCGAAATCGTCGCATTGTAGAAGTCCTCGCCCGTCCCCCACAAACGTTCTGGAACTGTATGTTGAAGGTCTACGAACTCTTGCGCTTGTTGACACGGGTGCCGCCGTATCTGTGATGAGTCAAAAACTCTGCCGTTCGATACGAAAAGTAACGACACCGCCTTCCGACGTATTGCTGAATACCGCGAGCTCGCAACCTATTCGACCAGTCGGAGCATGTACAGCGAGAGTAATCATTCAGGACGTCCTGTACTACATCTAGTTTCTCGTGTTGACCACTTGTGCCCACGACGTGTTACTAGGATGGGTTTTTTTGTCACGGCACCACGCCGTAATTGACTGCGCTCGCGCGCAGGTAGAATTATCTGTGTTTTCAGATGCGCCATCTACTGACAATGAGCGCACTCACCTGGGCAAGCTTCTTGTAGCTTCCGACGTTGATGTTCCTCCTTTTAGTGCCATCGTTGTCCCCGTCAATCGCACTGAATTGTCCGGCTCTACCGTTGTGTTCTCTCCATCTGACGTTTTCAGTCGCCGCCACGGTACGTCTCTGCCATACGCCGTTCTGCCACCTCATCAAGATACTTCCGGAATTGTCGTTTGCCATCTTAGCTCATGCCCTCTCACCTTAAGAGCTCTTGAAACACTGGGCTATGTTCATCCTGTTGATGACAACGTTATTGTGCCTATTGAGTCCCACGACCCTGGCCAGCAACTTCAGCTGAACGCCGTTACTCCTCTTTTTACGCGGGATGACTACTCCTCGGATATTTTCAATCGTTCCGTAGACAGCAAGCTTCCTTCGGATCAACGGGACCAGCTAATAGCCCTTCTGCATGAATTCCGAGATTCATTTGACCTTCCTCAAAAGGCACTGAGTCAAACTAACACCGTCGCTCACACAATCTACACCGGAACGCACCCTCCTTTGCGGCAACGCCCCTACCGCGTATCACCCAAGGAACAGGTGGATGCAGAGCAGGTGGATGATATGCAGATCAGGTGGATGATATGCTTCAGCGCGGTGTCATCAAATCATCTTCTAGCCCCTGGTCTTCACCTGTTGTGCTAGGGAAGAAAAAAGACGGTTCGATTAGATTTTGTGTCGACTACCGGCGACTGAACAAAATTACACGGAAAGACGTATACCCTCTTCCCCGCATCGACGACGCTATCGATTGCCTACAAGGTGCCGAATTCTTTTCTTCGCTGGACTTACGTTCAGGTTACTGGCAGGTTCCGATGGCAGAGTGTGACCGTCCCAAAACAGCGTTCGTTACACCGGATGGCCTATACGAATTCATGGTTATGCCATTCGGTCTGTGCAATGCACCTGCAACGTTTGAGCGAATGATGGACAGCATTTTACGCGGCCTTAAATGGCAGATATGCTTATGTTACCTCGATGATGTTATCGTATTTTCGCCTGATTTCCCTACCCACGTCGACCGTCTGCGCACCATTCTTCAGTGTCTTACCAAGGCAAACCTCCAACTTAACCTAAAGAAGTGCCGCTTTGGGGCTCGCCAACTTACTATACTTGGTCACGTTGTGTCAAAGGATGGAATTTGCCCCGACCCCGACAAACTTCGAGCCGTAGCCGACTTTCCGAAGCCGACTTCACTCAAAGAACTTAGGAGCTTCATCGGCTTGTGCTCGTATTTTCGTCGTTTCGTCCACAACTTTGCAACCATAATAGCCCCACTTACACAACTATTGAACGGTCCAGCTAATCTTTCTAACTGGTCCCCGGCATGCGACGAAGCTTTCCTTACACTGCGCCGCCTACTTACGTCCCCACCAATTCTACGTCATTACGACCCAAGTGCCCCCACTGAAGTGCACACAGATGCCAGTGGCGTTGGTCTGGGAGCAGTACTCGCGCAACGAAAGCCCGGTATTCCGGAGTACGTCGTCGCATACGCAAGCCGCGCACTCACAAAAGCGGAGATGAACTACTCCGTAACTGAAAAAGAATGCCTCGCAATCGTTTGGGCGTTAAGACAGTTTCGTCCTTACTTGTACGGACAGAGTTTCGACGTTGTGACCGATCACCACGCGCTTTGTTGGCTGGCGTCGCTAAAAGATCCTTCAGGTCGCCTTGGACGTTGGGCTCTTCGCCTACAAGAATTCGACATTCGTGTCGTCTACCGCTCAGGACGAAAACACTCTGATGCGGACGCCCTCTCACGATCACCAGTGAAATCCACCGCAGACCTGCATTCGGACACCAACTTCTTCATCGCTCCCATTTCCGTCACAAGCATGTCGTCTGAACAGCGGAAAGACCCATGGATAACATCTCTCCTTAACATTCTTTCTGACTCTTCAACGTCTGCATACCCACGCGCTCTTCGCCGACAAGCCACGCATTTCGCCATACGGGATGCGCAACTATACCGCAGAAACTACCACGTGGATGGTCGTAAATGGCTCTTGGTTATACCACACCACATGCGATCTGATGTCTGTGCGTATTTCCATGCCGACCCACAACATGCTCACGCTGGTGTGTTAAAAACACATCAGCGGATCCGCCAGCGTTACTACTGGCGTGGTATGTACACTTTTGTACGAAAATACATTCGGTCTTGTTCATTATGCCAACGACGAAAGACAGCTGCCCATTCACCCGGATTATTACAGCCTCTACCATGTCCGGCGCGCCCTTTCGACCGCATTGGTATCGATCTATATGGTCCCCTTCCTTACACTGCCACAGGAAATCGATGGATCATTGTCGCCGTCAATCATCTGACGAGGTATGCTGAAACAGCTCCACTACCTACGGCAGGTGCACGTGACGTAGCCAATTTCGTTTTGCGACGCTTCGTACTGCGTCATGGGGCACCACGTGAACTACTAAGTGATCGAGGGCGTGTCTTTTTATCCGAAGTTGTACAACAACTCCTTCGGGCATGCCACACGGTGCACCGCACCTCTACAGCCTACCACCCGCAGACCAACGGTCTAACTGAGCGCTTCAACCGAACGCTAGGAGACATGCTCGCCATGTATGTCAATTCCGACCAATCAAACTGGGATGTCATTCTCCCATTTGTGACCTATGCGTACAACACCGCGACGCAGTCAACCACAGGCTTCTCGCCTTTCTTTCTTCTATATGGCCATTTTGCCGTATCGTCCCGACGTCTCAGAGTTCAGCCCTCTTTCTGAGATTTTGCACCACGCTGAAGAGTGTCGTCAGTTGGCCCGATCATTCACCTCGGACAAGCAAGCATTCGAAAAAGACCGCCACGACCGCGACCAGCAAGTCGAGACTTTTGCCGTGGGCTCGCTTGTCTGGCTCCGACTTCCCTTCCACTCCCCAGGTCTGTCCGCTAAGTTTGCCCCCAAGTTTCACGGTCCTTATCGCGTCGTCGAACGTCGATCTCCTGTCACATACGTGATCGAGCCGATCACGCCATCTACAGACAGGCGATGCCTTGGTCGCGAGACTGTCCACGTGAGTCGTCTCAAGCCCTATCACGACCCACTCCTAATCTCGTCACCTTGACTTACCAGGATGGCTCGTCTTCGTCGCCGGGGTATTGTAGAGAGGAAGAAGAATATGTGCCGCAGTGGGTCACGCCTTTAGCAGGAGGAGCCAAGCGCGAGCGTTTGCCCCGATTGCTGTGATTCCCGAGTCCGTTGCTGCCGCCCGCTTTCCGCGTCAATAGACCTACCGTGCAAGTGCTACTTGTTCCAATAAACCCCGTTCCATATCTATCTATCTATCTATCTATCTATCTATCTATCTATCTATCGAATCGCCTACGTCCGGGTGCCCTCACGATCACCCCCTTAACTTAGGGTCTTCGAAATACTTTGCAAGAAGAGCCGAATGTTCGTGAAACGCCAATGCTGGTTCCAGTGTTCACTATCCAATTTGTTGCATATATTTAGCGCCACTTCATAATGTTTCACCTAATATAAAATTACAACAGTCACCTTGCGTAGCATTGATTCCCAAGTTACGTGGGATCTGCGTCTCTATTTCTTTTTTTTTTTGCGGGCAAGTAGCAGATGGCGAAATGTATGCCACGAAATGATCTTCATTTTGGTATTGCAAAACGCCAGTACTGTGAAAGCAATAGAGTAGTTCTTATACAATAAAGCATTATGTAAAAAAAAAAACACTCCGAAAATGCAGCAAAATAATAGTTGGCCTCGCGCGGCTCGGCCTCCTGCACGCTTCGCGGCGCTAGCGGAGCGCAATTGAACGCAAATGCACCCACTCGCACAGCAGCGCACCATGCGGGCGCTGCCGGCAGTCATCAGCTGCGGGGCCATCTCCTAGCCCGCGCTCAGCACACTAGCCAGTATATTTCTAGACACTGTACTTTAGGTACAACCGCAAATGAGCGCGCGGGCCCGTGGTGACATCTCGCGGCGACCGCCGGAACTATGCGGCTCACGATACTCAAGTCATCCAAAGGTGGTAGGTAGATTAGTGTTTGTGGCGCGTGGTCATCTCGGTTTATGACGTCACTTATCGATAGAAAAAGGAGCTATTTCTAGCTGACTTTGAGGATTCGCGGTAAATTGTGGGCCACTTGCATCGCGGTGACGTTTGGCTGGCGTTTTCGCATGAGCCTCGAAGACCGATCGGCACTGTTTTCTGACCATGCTGAAAAATTGTTGGAAGGCCAACGTTAAAGCGACGCCGAGCCTCATTCCCGACTGGGAGGCCAAAAGGGTGTCACGCGCGTGTTTGATGTTTCAAGCAAAAAGCGTAGGTAACTCACCAGTAGCTGAGGCAGAGGGCGATCGCCACCAGGGACAAGGTTATGACGCCGAAGAGGGGCACGTAGCGATTGAATAAACGGTGATGCCAGTCATCTGCGCAAAGCATGCCACTGAGTCCACGGCTCTTTCGTATTCTATCGCTGCACTCGCACAACACTTACGACACGATGTGAACACGAGACAACCACCGTGTTATTGTGATATAGCTTAGCGGTGTGATGCTGCGCCGCACTTTACGAAGGCGTGGCTTAGATTATCAGCAGTGGCGACAGCATTTAGACGAAGGCGAAATGCAGAAGCGATCATCAGCTTAGACTTCGATACACGTTCAAAATGGATGTAGTTTCCCACTTTGGCGCTGCCTCCTAATTGCATTTTCATAGTCGCGCGTAAGAGCCTAGAATGGAATGCGTTAAGTGTAGCAGATTAGTTGCACAGCACTTGCCTGTACAGTGCTCTAGGATTGAAATGGACAATTTAGGGCTAAGTAACGCCGATACCCTCATTTCTCTCTTCTTCAGATGGGGTTCATTTTGGCGTAATTTCGACTCGAAGGCATCTAAGATCCAACAATAAATTTAAAAAACAGCATATCCGCGGAGTGAATGATGTTAAGGTGGGCGAAACGTCCATTGATTCGTCCACCAATCTGCCTGCCTGCCTCTGTCTGTCCGTCCGTCCGTCCGTCCGTCCGCCCGCCCGCCCGTCTGTCTGTCTGTCTGTCTGTCCGTCCGTCCGTCCGTCCGTCCGTCCGTCTGTCTGTCTGTCTGTGACGAACGGACGGACGCTTCGCCCCACTCATCATTATTCACTCCGTGGATATGCTGTGTCTTTGTATACGTAAACCACTAATGCCATCTATAGTGATATTTCCTACTTCCAAGGACATATTCAAAACGCCATTCAGTGAGCAATTCATAAACCAACTAGAAGTGGATACTACTACCAGGGGGCGGAAACTTGCTGTAGCTATCAGGAATCACTCTCAAGCACTAGCCCAATCCCACACTTCACCCACAAAGCCTGTCAGGAACGCTCAGCGCAAAATGAACCTCATTGTTCGAGATGGTTTGCTATCATTCTAGATCATTGTGTCAAGAACGCGAACACTCAAGATTATTCTAGAGCTTGCACGACGACCTGTGATATGGCTAAAATATTCGATGGCACATGTATAAATACCGACGCGCTTCGCCGTTTGTCAGTTGATCGATGGCCGACGTTCTGTTTGCCGCTATCAATGTCATAGTGTATTGCTGTAATCGGACTTTCCATTTACCGGCATCAAGTTCAGCCTAATAAACAGTTTGATCACAGACCTGCAGTCTGCTCCCTTCCACGACGTGACAATGTGGTTGATTGATTTGTGGGGTTTAACGTCCCAAAACCACCATTTGATTATGAGAGACGCCGTAGTGGAGGGCTCCGGAAATTTTGACCACCTGGGGTTCTTTAACGTGCACCCAAATCTGAGCACACGGGCCTACAACATTTCCGCCTCCATCAGAAATGCAGCCGCCGCAGCCGGGAATTGAACGTGACAATATGGTGGTCATAGGACGTAAAACCCAAAATTTTTATTAATAATATTAATATTATTATTATTATTATTATTATTATTGTTGTTGTTGTTGTTGTTGTTGTTGTTGTTGTTGTTGTTGTTGTTGTTGTTGTTGTTGTTGTTGTTGTTGTTGTTGTTGTTGTTGTTGTTGTTGTTGTTGTTGTTGTTGTTTGTTGTTGTTGTTGTTCATGCACTGTGCCAACGATCATTCCTGATTGAACCTGCCTAAACGGCCTCCCTTTACCAGGCTAGAAATTTAGTGCGCCAATAGACCAGAAGTAAAGTCTAGGAGCGAAAAAAAAACGGAATTGGAAAACGGAACTCCATTGAACTGCCGCGCATAGAAAAAGGATGCGTGTAAAAAAAAAAAAACTAGACGAGAAAACTGGAAGCTAGTTGGACAAGAGTTCCACATTAGGATTAATTATGGCTTGTTGTTCCTATTAATTGTTCGCTACTGTGAGCAGTTTAAGTGCTGTTAGACTTATAACTTTCGTATTGATATAATAATTCACTTGCTCTACAATTTACAGAGAAAACTATCTCCAGCTTATGAAAATGTATTACTTCATACTAGGCTACGATCACGTTTACCATCGATGAATCTAAATTTAGAGGTATCAAAACAGCGCCAAACTTATCATACTCTCGGTAATAGAGGGTGGAGATATATTGAGCACTGAAGCTAAAAAAACTAGCGTTCTACGTCACTTCCATCGGGGACAAATGTCCGCATGTTCTCGGTCAGTCAATGTATAAAACATACTGACCGGGCCGCTGACGTCATGGAAATGCATGGACTCCTAAACGAATGGCTCGGCGGTATCACGCGGGGACCCTGGGACGTACGTGCGCAAACACATTGGTGAATCAATTTTTACCTACTCTTCCTCTTTTTAGCTTTAAAAAGCGCACCCATCTATATAATACAGCACACAGAATGCAAGAACACAAGGACAGTATGCCATGTCAACTGAGGAGGTCTCACACGAGCAACGAAAGAAAGTATGATCGTATCTGGTTCGCCAAGACAATGCCAGTAATGAAGAAAGAAACGTCACATCTCCAGCTGCAGCTTTAAATTGTAGCGCTCATTTGAAGGGCTAAGGTCCATACTACACCACACTGCGCATCACTTTGAGGTGTATGTTGCGGTGTGAGATTGATGAAATAATAAATTACAAGGTATGAATTCTAACACTACTTAAGCTGCTTAAAAATAACATGCTGGACAAAAAGGTTGCTATTTTTCATAATTTCATCGTTCAAGTGGGGAATGGATCGCCTGCGAAACCAAACCAAGGTTATCTGAGTCATTATTCCCTGTAAAAGGTCACCGTACACAAATGTATTTGTTACGGTAGGCTGCATGAACTGCTGCACGCCTCCTTATTGTATATGGACTCCACAACCTAGAATAATTAATTCAGTAATCGAAACAATTGAGGGTCGTTCGATCCGTTTGTTCCAAGGCTTCTGAATACGTCCAGTTTTGGTAGGAGCATGTACACGTAAGCTCTGGTTTGTTTTTGCTCATTTGTTTCTTCGAACTGCTAGTCCACAAGAAGGTCATCCCAGGAGTGGCAGCAGAGAATATAAAACCTCGTATACGTTCCACGTCGTTCGCAGACAGATTAGGGTAAAAACAAAAGGATGCACATAGCTGTAGGTAAAACGGCACATACGTTTCTTTTTTTCTATGAGGCAGCAGACTTCCCAGCACCAACAAGTATAGCTAACATTCATACTTAGGACAACGCAGCAATGATTGATTAACGGTACACACCAGCAAATTCCCTGTCTTCTAAGTCAATTGAAAATGATTGAACTTTGACCAGCTGTCAATATTACATCTCAATACTTATATTGTCACGGGGTCGTGACGTCTACGAAGAAGCAGAGAGTACGTTGAAGATTAAACTGTTTATTTGGGCGAACCTGTGCCCGGTAAACGGAAAGTCGGATCACAGTAGCAGGCTTGCGCTGATAGCGGCGAATGGAGCGTCAGCCTTCAATCACTACTCACAAGCGGCGAAGTGCGCCGACATTTATACTCTTGCCATCGAATGTTCTAGCGTTATCGCTGGCGGTGGCGTAGGTTCCAAAATAATCTGCACAGTTCACGGAGTGGGCGTGATCTTATCGAAATGATCTACTACAGTCCTAAAGCTTCTCGAAAACTGCAGGCGTGGTTTGCGCTGAAAATTATGTAGTGTATTGGGGCGATAACAAAACTTCAGTAATGGGACGTGGCAATGCTTATGTCGAAAAAAGTGCGAACAACGTTTAATTGAAGCAAAAAAAAAAAAACACAGCTTACTTACGCTTGCTCGTATAGTGCTCGCCCAGCATGTAAGTCCTGAAGGACGCCCAGAATCCCGGCTCCCTCTCTTGGTCGACCATGGCACCGGAAGTGACCACAACCATATCGCGCGACGATAAGCCGTCTTCGCCGCGCACAACCACTTCCGTCTGTCGCCCAAGCACAGCCAGCAGAGCGGCGATCAGGCACAACACGTAACGAGCCGCCGACGTCGCCGGAAACATGGCTGCTTCGTCAAAACAAAACAGACGTCCCTGATGAACTTGACGTCACCGCCGTCAGTCAGGCCGTCGTCTGCCAGAATACGCTTGAGGAATCGTCTGCATGTCGTCTTGCTCGCACTAGAGAGCTTTGTAATAGGGTACGCAAAGCACTGCGTCAGCGTTCGCCATCACAGCGCATGCGTCGTACGGTATATAGCCTCGCGGGCACCCGCGTCAAGTGACGAAACGCGCCCGCAACAAACGCTATCTTTGCGCGTCCTATTCTAAAACTGCTATACGAGCGACGCAAGCACACTCTGCACGTAGAAACACAGAGGTCAGCACACGAACCACGCTAGCTTGGCCGCAGAGACGATACAACCAGCAGGCCTTGCGCACGACTGTGAAGAGCAGACGCAGCCGACTGAAAAAAAAAGCTGCGCCGCTTGTCAGATGGCCGACGCGTGCGGGTGGGAAAGACGGTTTGCGAAACGAGCAGCCGACGTAGGAGAGGATACCGAGCGCAGTCGAGCTATACTGGCGTTGGGCCCCGGGTTGTCACGCAGGGCTCACGGCGGCAGCTGTTCCAAGTGTAAAGGGTTACTCGGAGGACTCTGCACGAAGGTAAGGGCGTATGCGAAACGCATCCGTCTTAGGCCACCTGCAAACGCATTGTGTCGCCGCACTGGCCAGTGGCGAACGTAAACCGCTAGCTCACTGCATCATCCTCGCGGTAACCTATTGTCTATCGGAAAAACGGAGACGCTAGCCCCGACCTTCCTGACGCTTAATGTGTGTTTAGAGGGCTAGCGGCGAGATAGTTTCTTCGGCGAAATCAGCCGTAAGGATCTCACGGGGAGCAGGAAACTTATAGGTCGTGCGTTTGATACCCGCCTGTCGCATTTTGACTGCCTCTAAACGTGCGTGTTAGTTCAATAAGGCGTACGAAATAAATACTGAATATCGTCCTTTTTTTTTTTTTGAGATTTAAAGACCACAAGTGAACAAAAGCTGCGATGGCTTGTCTGCCGTCAAACTTTACGTCAAAATACTTTGCGTGTTCAAGGTTACTACATACTAAAACGTATGTAAAATACCACACAACATGCGACCGTCCACGCATGCAGCGTACAAAGTGAACCTAATTGGTGGCAATGCAAATTTCGCCAAGCATAAGATACCCTCGGCGCATAGAGGATCAGGAGCTTGGCTGCTGATCTGAAGGTCGCGGGTTCCACCCCGGCCGGGGCGGTCGCATTTCGATGGAGGCGGTATGGAAAAGGCCCTCGTACTGTGCGATTTCAGTACACGTTAAAGAACATGAGATGGTCGAAATCACTGGAGCCCTCCTCTTAGGATATGCCTTGGTTTACCCCCGCTGCGCATCGACAGCTGAAACAATTGCCATTGCACAGGACTACTCGATCATGACGCACATCACCATTGAAACGATGCGTACGTACCTCAGGCAACATGCTAGGAATCCTTCCCACCACTTGACAACCCTCACTACTGAGAGGCCCCGCACAAAATTTAGTGCATTGTCTGTGCTCATCGTGCGTCGTTTACGTCAGGTTTTACGCCTGCTGAGAAACTGGTGTATCCTCCGTGGTGCCTGACACTTCCACAAGTACGTGTTTCAATTCCAGGAATACAGAAAAAATCAAATTTGCCTTCATCAGCCCTAAAACAATTGAGCTTGAGCCATCTGCACGAAATGTACAACAACCACGTGCACATATACACCGATGGTTCAACCACAGCGTCTGGTTCTGGTGGTGCGGTGGTGATTCCAGCTAGAGGAATCACTCTGCGAATCAAACTGTCACATGTCACTACGTCCACAGTGGCAGAACTTGCGGCTTTGCGTGGCGCCCTAGAGTACATCAAATCCCAAAGACCGAGTAAATGGGCTGTGTTTTCCGACTCAAAATCAGCCCTACAGAGCATGCAGTCAGTTCTTCGATGAGTTTGCCATGAACAATTAACTTACGAAGTTGTCAAGCTTGTTCACCACGTCACAGAAACAGGCCACGAGGTCAAGTTTCAGTGGCTTCCTGGCCATTGTGGGATCAGTGGCAATGATTCCGCAGACAACGCGGCTCGCACATCGCACCAAGAAGAACACACCCTTCCGATTCCTTTGTCAAGGACTGACGCTGCAAAGCAACTTCGTCACCTGGCACGTAGTCTGAGTCTGCAGGAGTGGAACACCCCAAGCATAAGACATACGAGACTATACCAAATAAACCCTCGACTGGAACTTCGACCTCCATCCGGACTTCGTCGACGTGAAGCTTCACTTCTTTGTCGCCTTTGGTTGGGGGTTGCCTTCACAAAAGCATATAGAACCCTCATCGGATTGACCGACAATGCGGAATGCGACGTCTGCTGCGCCAAAGAAGACATCGACCATCTGATATGCCATTGCCCTCGATTTGCCTCTGAAAGACAGAAGCTTTCGGACGCATTGCGACAATTGGACGATCGGCCACTCTCTGTGCAGATGCTACTGGAACACCGTCATCGCCTTCGTCAGCTCAAAAATCAGTCAAAGCTGTCTTGTGGTTTTTGAGGACTACAGGCCTATGTGACCACCTTTAACTTTTGTGTAGTGCCCCCGCTGCATACGCGCCAGCCGATTGACTGACAATCCTCCTTTTTTTTCTCTCTCTCTTTCTCTTCTCTTTCCCCTCTCTCTCATCTTTATGCCCCCTTCCTATTCCCCCAGCGTAGGGTAGCAAACCGGGCATGTTTCTGGTTAACCTCTCTGCCTTCCCTCTTGTTGTTTATCCCCCCCCCCTCCTCTATGACGTCTTTCATAATTATATGGTTTTGGCCTGTGAAACCCCAAGCATTGTTATTAAAGATGAGTCGCCCGATCAATCTACCTGTAGTGGTGTCTCGACGTGATCAACTTGCCATAATATTAATTGCTGGGATTAAACGTCCCAAAAACCGCGATATGCTTATGATAGACGCCGTAGAGGAGTGACCCCGAAAATTTCGACCACTTAGGGTTGTTTAACGTGCACTTATATCTAGTATACCTAAACGGGCCTTAAACGTTTTCCTCATTCACTGAATACGCGGCAGCCGCGGGCCGGAATACGATCCCACAATCTGCGGGTCAGCAATGGAGCGTCATAACCACTTGACCACGTGGACGGTCGGTTAACATGCTAGTTATCTTCACAGCATCTGTACACCAACCATTTGGCTGTCAATGTAGCCAGAAAAAGGTCGCGTATTCGTTCTATCTTGCAATTTACACAGAACATGATTAGGAGTCTCTTAATTATGTCAAGCTCCCTGTCGGCAGCTTCATCAACTTGCTTATCTGCGTTAAGGTATCTAGTGGTACCTTTGTGACGTGGTTGATTAAGAAATGCACGTCGCAAAACTTTCAACACACTGGAAGCGACCATGGTCGAATCCTAAAATCAATCATCGCGAGTGATGTTACAGTTGGCATTGCACGTACGTGTATCTGAAATCCTACTTATTCTTAACAAAGGCAACACCAAAGAGCCCATGTATTTTCTTTTATTCCGATGCCCTATTTTTTCTCGCACGTGCGAATCCTATCTGATGCCTGCCAAGTACAAAATAAACGCATAAGGACCCGATCGCGAGACATATCTTGCGCGCGTGCGGAGAAACTGACAGGCTCGCTGCCGCATATAAAAAAAAAACAGCCGTTGCTTTTGTAAGATTTTTTTTTTTTTACAGCGCTAGACAGCTGCTGCTGTGCTAGTCGTTTCTTGTATTCGAAGGAACGTGCAGAAGGGAAAAGCAGTCAGAATGGCGAGCGAAATTCGTCCCCGTATCATATAATAGGACCTCGGATGACGAAAGAAAATGTGAACATGGCTGCGCCATACCACGTTAAGCATATGTGGTGCTTCTTTTTTCATAATTTGATTCTATAGCTACTGCGTTCCACATGCTGAGAACACAGGAAACATGCAGTTTGGAGAGATGTTTTAACGAGCCTGCAGGAAACAAAGGGTGGATAAAAGAATTCCAATATGATAGAGCCCGAGATCAACAGCCTATATTTCTATAAAACGTCATACTCTCAATTTCTTACGACAGCTGCAACACTACGAGTGCTAGCAAAACTTGAAATAGATACGATTGCACCAAGAGGTTTTTTTTTTTTTTCAATGAGAAACCATGAATCAGGCTTGGAGAAACGGGCCTGCTGGCTCACAGGCCTGCTTCATTAAGGACCGTACAACCAATTTAATGAAGTTACATCTCCCTATAAACTTAGTGTGAGACGACGTCTTCCATCCAACCCCGAATTCATCGCCAACAGCCTGACAACTACCACTGCAGGGCAAAGGCATCTCCCCTATTTCACCGATCCACCCGGTCTTGTGCTCCTTGCTGCCACGTTGTGCCAGCAGACTTTTCAATATCATCCACGCCGCTGACTCATCAGCCCATCTAATTTTCTGTCTCCCTCCCCTAGCTTAATCGCATACTTAGCCGCAAAAATGTCAGCAACCCAGAGTAAAGAAACACACACTTGTTGGCCGTTATCCTGCCTATGCTCTACGTGCCCGGTCCATGTCCATTTCTTTTTTATTTCAACTGCGGTGTCCCTTGCCCCCTTTTGTTCCCTCATAGACTCTGCTTTCTTCCTGTCTCTTAATGTTACAACGTGTAATTTCTTTGCCATCGCTCGTCACGTCAACCTGATTTTAAGTTGAACCGTCTTTGTAAGCCTCGGTGTTTGTGCTTCGTAGGTAAGTACCGGCAAGATGCAGCTGTTATATACCTTCCTCATGAGGATAGTGGTAAACTATAATTCGTGATTGATAAACCGCAAATTAAACAGAGGCAAATCAGTTACTCTCGGAATTTTGCAGACATGAACTTATCTTTCTCTCGGGGCCCTCAATTTGTCCAATTTCGATTTCTGACAGTTGTTTTCCCAAATGCGGGCTCGCCACCTGTTCCTTCGAACATATATTGACACGTAAATAGTACATGTGGACGAAAACGACGATTGGAAAATTGAAAGGGCACCGTGTAGTGGTCCTGTAGATATTCTTATAGCAGAAAGACGTTTCTTCCTGTTCAAGAAAGAGTGATATGGGTGGTTTTGATCTCAAGTATTTAAATTAGCATAATTAGTTTATGATATATATGCTATCATTCGTTAGTCACACAATTCTTATGTGGTCCCTTTTACTTATAGATTATTGATTTCTTGGACAATCTCTCAGAGCGAATGGGAGCCATACATAAAGGATATCATCATCGTCATCAGCATCATCATCTGCAGCAGCAGCACCAGCTGATTTGAACATTATGTTTCACTGCCTCACGTGGTCTTGTGTTATGTTCGCGTTGCATCGCGACAATATGCTCTGTCTGTACTCAGTGAAAGTGCGCTCTGCATTACGTAACACGCCCAGCTGGGATGAGCGACTGTGCAGCGCGGACCTCACGCATCACTCCGGGGCCGTCCAGGAGGCTCGTGGCGTCGCCGAGAGTGATCATTTCCAGCTGCCCACGCGGGTGGAGCCACCGACTTGACTCGGGGGGTCTCGAGGCTTCTTTTAGTTTTGTCCTCCAGGGCTCCAATAAAGCTGCTTCTATGCATGTATTTTAC